TACCCTTGGGCTTTCTTTTGTTTTCCCCCCTTTTGCTGTTATAACAACCATAGGCATCCATGTTCTCTCTTCCCAGGCCACAAGAATGGGCTGGCCCCCATTCCCACTGCCTTGGCTGTATATGTGGGTAAAGGCAACACACACATTAAATTCTCTGCAGGGGACTTGTGTGCCTACATGAGCAATCTATTGTTGTTATTGTATTTTGTATTAAATAATGATGCCATTCTTTTCCATGTGCACAATTAAATGTGTTTGAAAGACCTGGGAAATACCACGGATCTGTGCCTCAGGGGTTGCCTCTGTTACCTTCTGTTTTTCCAAATCCTGATTGCTGCAGTGGGAACTGTAGTGCTGGTTCCCTTTATTCTGAGAGGGAGCCAACCTTTCTCTCAGATGATTACACTATTCCAGACTGCTCTCCAGTGTTCAGAAGTAATGCTGCATTGATATGCCCTCCACATAAGTGAAATAAGCGGTTCATTCATTCCTTCACTCACTCAGCAAACACTAACTGAGAGGTTACCACATGTCCAGCCCTGAGGTCAACACTGGGGGGGGGGGGGGTGAAAGTTTAAAAAGATGAGGTTTTTTTTGACTTAGGTCCAGGAAGCAGGTGTATCACTATGGTTTAGACAGGATGCTAAGTTTGTTGGTTTGCTAGAGCTGCCATAACAAATTTCCATAGACTGGATGGCTTAAACAAGAGAAACTTATTTTCTTGTGGTTCTGGAGACTAGCAGTCCAAGATGGAGGTGACCACAGGCTTGGTTACCTCGAGGAGAGAGAGACCTGTCTCCTTGGCTTGCCGATGGCCACCTTCTCCCTGCGTCTTCACATAGTCTTCTCTGTGTGTATATCTATGTCCCAATCTCCTCTGCTTATAAGGACACCAGCTCTATTGGACTAGGGCCCATGCAAAAGACCTCATTTTAACTTAATTACCTCTTTAAAGACTCCCATACCCAAACACCATTCCATTTTGAAGTACTAGGAGTTTCAACATATAAATTGGGGGTGGAGGACACAATTCAACCTGGAACACTAAAGGATCCCCAAGGGGCAGTACTAAGCCCAGCTTTGGGTGGAGAGGGCTTATTGAAAGGTAACTCTAGTCTGAGTGTTGAAAGATAAATAGGGGCTCTTCAGGTGAAGTGTGGAGAAGGGGGATAGGCAACCTAGGTATATAGGGCGTTATGTGATTATTAGTCTTGAGTATGGTAGAAGTTAAATGTGAAAGGGGTGGGGAAGGGACTAACATGATGTTGAGTCTGGAAGGTGGGCAGAAGGCTAACCTGGGAGGGCATGTGAATCATACCGAGGGGTTTGAATTTTATATCCTGAAGGCTGAGAAGAACCACTAAAAGATTCTAGGCTGGAGGATGGTGGAGATAGTTTCTTTTTTTTTTTTTACTAAGAAGTTGGTATATTTAAGGGCCCAATAGAAAGGCCACCAGTATCCCAAAATATGTGATTTCCTATGTGATTTGTCATAGCATCTGAAATTCTCATCACCAAAGAAGCATTTCTTTGGGTCATTATCCCATTAGATGCAATCATTTTTATTTTCTTAAGGGCACTAATCAGGATTTATAATTATTGTATTTGTTTACATGTCTATTTCTTTGATGGTACATTCACTGTAAATCCTTTGTATACACCTAATGCAGTGCCTAGCACATAGTGAGTGCTCAATATATATTTGTTGAAAGAATAATGAGTCATCTTGGCATGACTTATGACATAGTAAGCTACTACAATCAGTAAATTGACCCAGGGCCCTGGGGAATAAGAGAAGGTCAATTAACTTTTGATCATGGTAAGCAAGGAAGTAGGCCATACCTAGTGAAGTTAGGTAAGACAGGCCAGCAGGAGAAGCCAGCACACTGGCCACTGCCTTACTGGGAAGCTGGGTGGATGGGAAGTAAGGACTACTTGAGACAATTCATATAGAAGTGATTTGCATGCTGAACTTGGAAGCTAGATGGCCTGTTGAAATCAAACCTATGCCACTAATTGACTATGTCACTCTGGGTAAGCACCTTACTCTCTCTGGATCTCCATTTCTGGGTCTTCAAATGAAGATAATGATAGTCCCTACCTATTAGGTTGTTATGAGAATTTAACGAGTTAATTTAAGAAAAGCTTTTATGATAGGGCCTGGTATATCGTAAGAATTATGTCAATGTTGGTTATTATTATTATACCATTATTATAATGTGTTCTTTAATTTTAATGAGAGGAGGCACAATTGGTCCCCTTAACTCTGATCTCTGTTTTCTTTTCTCCAGCTTCTAAGCTCCTCCTATTTACTCTCTAAAACCTAAATCATGTTACTTCCCTACTTAAAAATCTTAGACTCAAAGAAATCTTAGGCTAGAAAAAAAGAATCTTGGCTTCAGTTTAGATTACCACATGCATATTATGTGACTGCCATGTTCTAGGCCCTGGAACAGAAGATGTGAAAAGGTTAATGCAGAAGTACATTCTGTTGATGGCTTCTTATTGTTTTGAGCAGTGTTTCTCAAAGCTTGGTCCACAGACCTTCCATTAGCATTTCTGGTGCTGATCAAGACTGCGGTAAACTAGATAAATAGGTGCTCAAAGCAGAGTGAGGGCAGAAGTCTAAAGTTAACTGTGTCACAAAGGTATGGAGAAAGTTGTAGAAAAGAAGAGTTAAGAAGTGGGACACTGGTAGCTACAGTGTTCTTTCTAAAAAATCAGTCACATCTTTTCTACTACCCAGCAGACAGCTCCTAAGCCTGAGGGTGGTCCAAGCTCTTGGCAAAAGAGAAAGAAGAATTCAGACTTTCCAGACCTCCTTTCTTGGACTACATGGTGACTACCCAAACCACACTTGGCTTCCTAGAATTGGCTGACAGAGCAAGAGCCTGTTTAATTTGTGATATCTGGACACAAAATCATTCTTTGTGGCAGCTCTGATATTGGCAGATGGGAGATTTAGCTCTGTCCTGTTTATATAACAGCAGTTGATAGATAGTGACTTCATAGTTGGATATTTATGAGAGGTTTCATTTCAAATAATATAGTTTTGGCCTGTGGCAATGCTAAGGCTCTTACCCATTATTACTGAGAAGCTAAATCTTTAGGATATTGTAACTATAACTGCAGGCTCTGTTTGATCTACCCGGAAGAACTGGAAAAGTTAATATTTTTCAAAGCAATGAAAGCTTTATTATAAAAAGTCTCATTAGGAAGTTTGTCCCTAAAACATATAGGCTATCAGAAGGTCATATATTAAAGAAATCAGCTTTCCATACTTTTCTTTTACCTTATGACTTCTATCACATAACAGCGTAATTAAAACGAAAAAAAAAAAAAGTCTGCCTTCCATTACAGAAACCCAACACTTTGCCATCCCCTCCAGCCAGGTCCCAGCTCTGAGGTGAACTGGTGAAGTCCATTCTTCACTATTGCAGGACAATGGTCTTTCCTGTGTTAGGTATTGAGCCCTCTGCTGACTTAGTACTCTTCCCAGACCTGCAAACTGTCAACAAATCAACAAATCATGAGTGTTTTCCCTGGTGGGAAAGAATGCTACCTTCATTTTAACACCACCGAGGCATCTCTTCCAGAGTCTGTGGGTTTTAAATTTTTGTGATGTGATTGGAGATCCTTGGCAGCTGAGGAAGCTATCAGGTCTGGCAAAGATGAGTGGGTAGGGTGGTACAAAAACTCTTTAAGGGTGGGCTCTGGGGATCAGCCAGTGAACAGCATGTCTTTACAGCTCTATTCAAAGGGACACTGGAGGGTACAAAAGGGCCCGAGTCACAGAGGCTCTCTTGGCTCGAGGGAGACAGAGTAAGAGCTAAAATAGTTGGAGAAAAATTGAGTAAGAAACAGGAGTGGTAGATAATTTAGCAGAGAGCTTAAACAGTTTTCTTTTTTGTATTTGTACTGCAGGAAATTGAGCAGGGCACATAGTAACCCGGCATCCATCTTTAAAGAGTCTTTAAGGGGCCAGTGAGAGGAGTTATGCCTGTGTTATGGGATGAATTGTGTCTCTGCCCTAAATTCATATGTTGAGGTCCGAATCCCCAGTACCTCAGAGTGGATACAGTTACTTTAAAGAGATGATGAAGTTAAAATGAGGGCATCTGGGTGGCCCCCAATCCAATATGGCTGGTGTCCTTACAAGAAGAGGAGATGAACACAGACACATACAGAGGGAAGACCACATGGGGACTCAGGGAGAAGACACCACCTAAAAGCTGAGAAGACAGGCCTCAGAAGAAGCCAACCCTGAGATCACCTCGATCTTGGGCTTCTAACCTCCAGAACTGTGAGAAAAGAAATGTTGTTGTGTAAGCTACCCAGTCTGTGGCACTTTGTTATGGCAGCCCTAAGCAAAGGAATACATCTGCTGAAGTCTCTGGGTGGGGGTGGGGGTGGGGGTGGGGCGGGTAGAGGAGGGGTAGAGGAGAAAAGGGGTAGAGTCTGGTTCCTAACTGCATATCACCATGCACACTGTTCTTCTTTTCAAAGCACAAAACTTTAAGTGGGAAGGTCTACCTTTTCCTGTAACTGAACTCTTCTTCAAGCTGCATCTGGCAACAGCTGCAGACTCCGTTCTCAGATGCTCCCGGTATCTCTTTTCCTGGTCCAGGTACAATGTTGGGATCTAAAAGTTTAAGGCTACATCTTTTTTCCATGTATGTCTCACTAACCACATTTTAATAAAGAGTTACTTTCTTGTTATCATCAGTATTCAATACCTATAATATTGAAAAATATCCAGTCCCAATTTTGTTTCTTGCTATTTTGCTACTAAGGAGTCTAATTCAGCATTTCCCAAAGTGTGTTCCACAGAGTATCCATGAGATACTCTAATATATTTTACTCACAAAAAGGATTCTGGGTAAATGTTTCAAGGTGTTACCTTTCCAGAGGGACATCTACATTTTTGGTTAGATTAAAGCCATAAGCGAAAAGACTAAGATCTAATAGAAAAGGTTTCCTTGGACAAGAGACCTATCAAGAGATGGTCCTCATTTCAGCTCTGCATGTAACCAGGCTGCTACTTTATTTTCAGGAATCCCTATGTATAACTTTATTATTTTTTTAAGTAAGAGTTTGGGAATGGTGGGAATGAGAACCAAAACTTACATAAGAAATAAGAAAGGATAGGATGTGCATGTCAGGGACTGACATATTAATTACAAATTCTAAAGACTCAAATTTCACACTCTCAGCAGCATCAATTTCCTACTTACACCGGCAGGAGAAATCAAATGGGTGTATTTGGGGCTGCCGACTAGACTTCAGTGTTAGCTGAGCCCAAACAAGAGCATCTGTTCTTGACAGTAGAAACATCCATTGACATCCATTCTTTGTTTTTTAGCCTCTCTTAAATCAAGATGTGTAAAGCTATTAGGTGCCAACAGAAACCAGTTAAACCAGAAACTGTGAGTTGTTGTTTTTTTAAACTAATAATGTGCCTTTATATTTTATACAGCAACCTAACAGCAAAAGTTCCAATAAAAAATAGATAGCATTTATGGAGCATGCAACAATCTGCTAGGTGCTGTGTTAAGTATATCATACATTTCATATTATTCAAGCCTAAGAGGATGTTTTTCCTGTTTTACAGAGAGGGAAATAAGACTCAAGGAGGTTAAACGGGGTCAAACAACTAACTAGGAACAGGCAGAGCCAGGGCTCAAACCCAAGCTGACTCAGGTCAAGGCCACAGCTGCTAACCTCTCCTGGGTACTGCTTGGATTTTCCACAGAGTCTGTTTGCTTCTTCCCATCACTCTTGTGAGTTACTGCCTTTGGAGATGGAAAGTTCCGTGGATATTTCTAAAGTAGGAAGGTGAAGGAGAAATGTTCTCATTATCATTTTCATTTGTTTCATCTCTATTATAGTCTAACTCATATCCAGATCCTAGAGACTTCTAACAACTTGCTATAAGAGGAAGGAAATATAGTTTAGTGGATGAAGCATGGGTCTTGAGACCAAATAGACCTGGGTTCAAACCTTAGGTCTGCCACTGACCAACTGTAGAACCTTGAGCCAGCCAGTCAATCTCATTAATCATTGTTTTTCTTACCTGCAAAATGGGTTAATAGGATTTATCTTACAGGATTATTGGCAGGATGAGAGCCAGAGTAGGGTTAAATGCTTAGTAAATGATTGACACAATAAATTATACCTATTGACTTGCATTTACACACCATGGACTCCTATCCTTTTATGGGACTCGTAATGGCAAGTCTATCTAAAATACCTGGGAGGAAGCAAAATGAGAAAGAAAACCCCTGATGGATTACATTGTGATGATTATTCTTAATATTCCCCCCCAGAAGACTGAATAAAAGTTATTTTATGCCTATGTTCTATTTGGAAAACATTATAAAACTTTGAACAGACAACAGGGCTGCGATAGCACAGTGCTTACCAAAGCACTGTATGCTTTTCTGATAAAGATATAACTTTATTGCCCTTTATGTACTCTCTTGGTTAATACAGTAAGCAAATGGTAGATAATTTGAAATACCTTTACTACCATTTATAGTGTCAGAACATACACCTTACCTTTAAAAATGCAAAAGATTCATTGTAATGGAAGGCATTGCTTATACATACAAATGCATTTGTAAAACAATTCACAGTGCAGAGAGGATTCATGATCTGAGATCTTTCACCTTTACAGAAATGAAATAGGATTTTCTTGCTAACTGCATTCCAGGAGCAGCTAGCCAGGTCAGCAGTGCATCTTGTGGGCAGGATGTCAGTTTTTGTGATCTCTTCTGCAGGGGCTTTTAGAAGGAAGGGGTGAAAGCTGGGTGCTGTAGGCTAAAAACATTATTTCCAAAGTCCTTCTTGGGGAAAAAATGATCTGACTGGGTAGCAAAGATTCTAGAGATACCTCTGCCTCAAATTTCTGGGGGTGGAACAGTCCTGGGAAGTTGAAGGAGATCTTCAAGACTTCGGCCACAGATAATGCCATTAAATCTTGATGAGGTTTTGTAACTTTTTGTTAGAGATGTTGTAATCTTTCAGTGCTGCTTCTGCACAGACAGAGCATGAAACCGTGTGCACAGAATCATTTGAGAAGATTTTTTTTTATTTAAAAATTTTTAGGTTACAGAGCGGAGAGAGTGAGGAGGCTGCATCTGGCTCCCGCTCTCACAGCCATTGCAGTACATTGAGCTCCATAGAGACAGCACCGGGGCAAGTGAGAGCCAGACGGGCACTGGGCGACTCTGTGCCTCGCTGAGGAAAATAATTAAACATGGGCAAAGGATATCCTAAGAAGCCGAGAGGCAAAATGTCATCATATGCATTCTTTGTGCAAACTTGCCAAGAGGAGCACAAGAAGAAGCACCCAGATGCTTCAGTCAACTTCTCAGAGTTTTCTAAGAAGTGCTCAGAGAGGTGGAAGACCATGTCTGCTAAAGAGAAAGGAAAGTTTGAAGACATGGCAAAGGCGGACAAGGCCCGTTATGAAAGAGAAATGAAAACTTATATCCCCCCTAAAAGGGAAACAAAAAAGAAGTTCAAGGATCCCAATGCACCCAAGAGGCCTCCTTCGGCCTTTTTCTTGTTTTGTTCTGAGTATCGCCCAAAAATCAAAGGAGAACATCCTGGCCTATCCATTGGTGATGTTGCAAAGAAACTGGGAGAGATGTGGAATAACACCGCTGCAGATGACAAGCAGCCTTATGAGAAGAAGGCTGTGAAGCTGAAGGAAAAATATGAAAAGGATATTGCTGCATACCGAGCTAAAGGAAAGCCTGACGCGGCAAAAAAGGGAGTCGTCAAGGCTGAAAAAAGCAAGAAAAAGAAGGAAGAGGAGGAGGACGAGGAAGATGAAGAGGATGAGGAAGAGGAGGAAGATGAAGAAGATGAAGAAGAAGAAGAAGATGATGATGATGCATAAGTTGGTTCTAGCGCAGTTTTTTTTTTCTTGTCTATAAAGCATTTAACCCCCCGGTTAAATCCCGGTGGTATTTCCAATAGCCACTAACCTTGCCTGGTACAGTATGGGGGTTGTAAATTGGCATGGAAATTTAAAGCAGGTTCTTGTTGGTGCACAGCACAAATTAGTTATATATGGGGATGGTAGTTTTTTCATCTTCAGTTGTTTCTGATGCAGCTTATACGAAATAATTGTTGATCTGTTAACTGAATACCACTCTGTAATTGCAAAAAAAAAAAAAGTTGCAGCTGTTTTGTTGACATTCTGAATGCTTCTAAGTAAATACAATTTTTTTTATTAGAAAAAAAAATAATAAAAATTTTTAAAAATTGTTTTAGTGTTTATTTATTTTTGAGGGAGAGAGAGAGAGCATGAGCAGGAGAGAGGCAGAGAGAGAGACACACACAGAATCCAAAGCTGGCTCCAGGCTCTGAAATCTCAGCACAGAGGCCGACGTGGGGCTCCAACTCACGAGCATGAAATCATGAAGAGTCAAAGTCAGACACTCAACTGATTGAGCCACCCAGGTACCTTGAGAAGATAATGGAATCAGCAAAAAGCAGGCTGCACTTACAAGACACGGCTTCTAGTTCTGGCCATGTCCCATGTTTGATCTCAGATGCACCCTGTCATGCCCCTGACCCTTATCCACTAATATGTCATGTAAGCTGTTTGGACATCATGATGTTCCAGCTACATCCCAGTTCTAATTTTCTAGGGATAGATAGTATGTGTGCAATCATGTATCAAATTAATTAGGACCTGCTTCTATTACACATTTCCAAAATACTTTTACATTTATAATCTCATGTTTAACCCTATCACAAACCTGTGAAGTAGGAAGGACAAATATTTTTGTTTCATTTAACATATTGGTAAGTTAGGCAAATAGAGATTAAGTTAATAATGACAGAGCCCAGATCTCTTGACTCTCATTCCTGGGCTCCTACGCTAAATTAAACTGGATTAGTCTTTTGGGATATGTGTGAAAGGGTATGCAGTTGGATTCTTTGTGGAAAAAGATAACTGAATAAGTTATTTAAAGTACTAGCAGAGTAGATAAGGCACAGTTCTATTTCCCTTGTTGAGAATTTGCTTTTGATTCCCTCTGTGAAACAGATTAGAATGTTTTGTTATGATTTAAGAAATACACAGACCCAGAAAAGGTACATCTCATATTCTTTTAAATGGATAATTTCTCCTGAGATTACTTCACATTCTGAACATTCACTTTATTATTACATTCTAAGGTTTGTGGCTTTCAATGCCACGGCATCTTAGTCTAACTTTTATTAGTGATATTTGTAGTTATCACTTTCCACTGTCATCCTCTCCCATTTCCTTTGGTTCCATAGATACAGTTTGATTTATGAATGAAAGCATTTTGATTCTTCAAGATATATCTTGGTGAATTGGTTCAATAACTTGTTATTGAAAAGCAAATCCATCAGGGATGTATTTGCCTACTCCCCCTAAAAAGAAATCTCTTGTTGAGATCAACCATTTATTCATCAGTCATGCCCCACTTCTGTATATTATGAGGAAATATCCCCATTTTTTTTTTCATTTGCTAAATATGCCCATAAAAGTATTCAACCTGAAGATCCAGCTTCAAGACTGCTTCTAAAATTTGGAAATTAAACAAGTATCTTCATCCATGAGAAAATCACAATGTAATTCAGATTCTGGCTACACTCGGAAGGCCTTTGGTGTAGATGAAGAATAAGATGGCGGGCCAGACTCAAAGAGGCCCAAGAATGAGAAAGGAAATTGAGTTTGCAGATGCTGTTTTATGTCGCAGCTTTGATGATCTCCTGCTTCTTAGTCAAGTCCTCTCCCTTTGTCACTCTGAGAGTTCTTAGTGAAAATTTGGGGTAACACCCCTAACCTCCCTGATAGCTACCTACAGGGTGTCATTCAAGCCAGCTGCCCCTGCCTGCTTATTGCAGAAGCCAGGGTGTTTGGTTGCATGTAGTCTAAGTTTTTACTTTCCTATGAAGAGTTTTAGTTCATTTGCATGAGTGTTAAGGTTTACTGTCTTGAAAAGTGCGAGTTGCAGTGAAGAA